TACATCTTTTGTGGTTCTGGACTGCATAAGTTTTAAGTGCTAGACTTTTGTTCCACGGAGCATACAGTTTATATTTTTTATGTTTCGTGTAAACAGTGAAATTATTTCCAGTATATAATGCCAACCCAGCATCGTGAGGAAATTGGGAAGCTACAATGGGTAGCGTAATCCGGTCATGAAAACTAGCAATGGCTGGGGGTTCGTCGTGCTGACCACACGTCACCCTATATCTGGTTGGATGATTGTTCACCTCTGCTTAGGCATGTGAACGTGAGGCCAGCAGCCAGCTAGTCGGCTTTGGCTCTCATAGGGCTGTTATGCCACGGATTATTATTATTAGTAGTAGTATATAATGTTTTTCTGCTTATAATGTTAAAAGTCTTTTTAACCTTCAGTGGGAGCATTCACACCGTTCATTGTCTGTACTTCCAGATGCAAAGAAAGTTAAAAGACGCTTGTACCAGCAAAAGCGGCGGCAGAGCCAAGGAAAGGAACCGACTGCTAGTGGAGGAACTCCTAAGAAGCAGCGCATACGGAAGGTCAGTGTGAGTATTGTTGTTTAATATTCACTGTTTGCAGCTTTTAGTTTCAACAGTGAGCCTGTTGGCTCTGCCACGTGTGCCCTTAAAAGTGCTGAACATATTTTCATTAAATTTGTTGTGTCTTACTTTATTTTGTACATGAAATGTCAGTACAGCAACTTTCGCCATTTTGAAAACATCTTCGTGCTTTAAAATACCAGTAAAATTATCTCTGCAGCTTTTTTATGTAGAAAGGAGTGGTTTGTGCCTTGTATTTCTTTAATTGTCTCATCCTTACATGTTGAATTGCAGTCTGTTTTGTGTGGAATCACAAGGTATATTGACAGGCTCATAGGGGATGGAGTACTTGTGTGTACTAAACTTAAAGGTACAGATTTTATTCTGTAAAAAACTTCAGGCTGGAGTTGTGTTCAGTTTATTTAATGACGCTTTTTCAGTAACTCAGACCTTATAGCATCAAATGAGGTGATGATAGTGAATGCTGAATTGGAAAGGATGTGGAAGGAAGCGGTCATGACCTAATTTAAATCACAATCCTTGATGAGTACTGCCTGGAGTGACTGAGAAAACCACAAAAAACTCGGAGTCAGGATAGGTGGTCTCCGGGCCGAGATTTGAACCCGGGACCTTCTGAATATGAAGCAGGAGTGCTAATCACTCGACCACGACATTTAGTCGATTGTGTTCAAGGAGCATGCACAAAGGATATAAATGTTTCCATATTCTGGATGGTCTTCTCAACACAAACAAAAAAACATATTTTTGTTATATTTTAAAGGTGTTGATTCTTGATTATATTTGTCCCTGGATTTGAGGCCAAAATGACATCACAGTTTATGATTACTAGAATGTGATTTGTGTTTGATGAGATTGTACATTGATACAATGATTTGTTTGACTTCCCTTGATTCAGAACCATAAATTACTGAAATATCATATATTGAGTCTTGAAACCTGTTTTCCAGTTAAATTAAAAGTTATATTACAGAAAAAAACATTATGGTAGCATTGATTAAACAAAATTAAATTTAGTTCTGATCACTCATTGCACATAGCTGGGAAGAAGATCTAGGCTATGTAGTTAGCTGTAATTGACTGCCTTGTTCATAACAGTCAATTCTATGTAGAACATCTTGTAACTGCAAAGCTGCCGACCTCAGAAAGGAGTTCCAGTTCCTCACCTTCACTTAAAATTACAGTAGATTCCTTTCACTGAACTGGAGCGTCACTGTTATATTTCCTTAGAACATGCTGATGTACCAGTTCCACATAGCTTAAACTTTCCTCTAGGGCAGGAATATACAGGTTGAGTCAGAAGTATGTTTACATACTTTATGTGTGTGTTCCAGGATCAAAAATAAGAAAAAATGTTCTTATGAACATGGGGTCGCAAATGTTTCATTTTTGAAATAATAGACAAAAATAAGTTTCAATGAATTGACTTTATATCAAAGTGAATCTAACTTCCAGCAAAGATTTTCAATTAATGTTTGGGCAGGAATTGTTGGCGACATACTTATTGGTCCACACATGTACGTATTCTATCATGTCTATGAGGACCTTCATATCGGCAATTCTTAAGAAGACACTTGCCACATCTCCTTGAAGATGTACTACTGCCACCGGGTAAAAACCCATTTGCAGTGAAATAAATAATAATAATAAATACAAGAAGACAAATGTGGTTTATGCACGACAGAGCCCCAGCACACTTCTCCCGTCGCGTCAGAGATCATCTCAATGAACAGTACCCTCAGCGATGGACTGGGCGTGGTGGCCCAGTAGCATGGCCACCGAGGTCACCGGACCTAACTCCATTGGACTTTTATCTGTGGGGTCACTTGAATACCCATAAACAATGATGATGACCTATGGGAACGTGTGCAGAATGCATGCCAGATGATCCGAGGAAACCCTGGTGTGTATGAACGAATTCGTCAGTCTTGTGTACGTCGTGCACGTGCATGTGTGGAGAATGGAGGAACAACCTTTGAGCATCTGTTATAAAGGAACATCCCTGTCCTTATACTTGGCAATAAAGGCATACATTGAAAACTATTCTTGGCTATTTGAAAATGAAACATTTGTGACCCCATGTTCATAGGAACATTTTTTCTTATTTTTTATCCTGGAACACGCACACAAAGTTTGTAAACATACTTATGACTGACCCTGTATATTCAGTATTTTAATTCAGCTGTGTCTTCTGTGATAGTAATATTAGCCTGCACATCCTCTAGCCCTTGGAAATCTCTCAAATTCAACTGTTCATTTGAATTCACAAAACAACTTAATAGTGAGTTGGCTTTCAACAGGATATTACTGTAACAGAGATGAGAAAATATCGGGCACAAGTGATGATTAATGGTTAAAAGCACTGGTTATGGATTTTGATATACTGCTTTATTCTGTGCAGGGTTCCAAAGTGGATGAAGATTATGACACATACATTGAGAATCTGATGATGCAATTACGACAGCTACCACCTATGAGCGTCTTAGAACCTGCTTTATCAAGAAATTATGCTGTGTGCTCCATCTTTGGGTCTGGTGATTTGACAAAAATTGGTACAACACGCGATTACTCTACACGTCATGGTGATCTAAAGGGTTCATTTTGTGCTGCATATTTAGCTCATGTGTCTGATCATTATAATACACAGCCGTTTGGAGACCTTCCCCCACTACCACCACAGCCTCCAGTTTCAACTCAGAGGGGGTTCTATGACCAAGAATTTGCAGCACTGAAACTTGAAAATGATGGTGAGTGTTTAGTATTGTATTGCATTGTAATTATTCACTAGATAGCTAACTCCGTGGAGCAGAGGCATTCTTAATAAACTAACAGTAACAGTACAAGCAGGTAATCACGAAATTCCCTGCCATTTTCTTGTTGAACCAAAAGGTCCGAGAACCTGCCACTGGTCCCTGTCCTAAGCCGGATGAATCCAGTCCACATTCTTGAAACCTGTTTCCATTTCAACATTATCCTCCCATTATGCCTCAGTCGTCCAAGTGGCTTTTTCCTTCTAGGCTTCCCAACCGAAGTTTTGTATGCTTTTCACATCTTCCTAATGCATGCTAAATGCCCCACTCATTTCAGTCTCCTTGATTTGACCATCCTAATAATATTTGATGAAGAGTACAAATTATGGTTCTGCTCATAATGCCATTTTCTCCAGCCTCCTGTCCCTTTATCCCTCTTAGGTCCAAATATTTCCCTAAAAACTCTGTTCTTAAATACCCTCATCCTGTTTTTTCCCTTAATTTAAGATACTAAATTCCATATGACCTGTAGTCATGTGCCAAGACATGAACATGAATTTTATTTTCTGTGTGTTTACATATAAACTAACTTATTTACTAGCATCTAATAGGTATTCTATGTTTTTCTTTGTAATATTTATGTTTTAACCCAGTAAATTAACCTCATCAGCATAGAACAAAAGCTGATGTTTCTTATTCAGTACCAGTCCCTGTTTTTTTCTTCTCTTCCACATAATTTTGTAAAGCAAAGTTGAAGAGCTGTAGTGCTGTAATTACTTTGAAAGGTATTTATCAGCATTTTACCCATTCCTTTTCCATGAATGTAAATAGCAGGTGAGCCTGTTTAGTTGCTACAGTGAGTAGCTCCTTAATTTGTACTCTTCTCCAGATATTATTAGGATGAGTAAATCAAGGAGGTGGGCAAGGTACGTAGTACATGGAGAAATTGAGAAATGTGTGGAAAAATTTGGTTGGAAAATCTGTGTGGAAGAGACCACTCAGGAGACATATGTAGTTAGGAGGAAAATATTAAAATGGATATTAAGGAAGTATGGATGGTAGGTGTGGATTGGATTTATCTGACTCAGGAATGGGACCAGTGGAGGGCGAATGTGAATACAGTAACAGAACTGTGGGTTATAATAGGGAAGGAGCTGAGTTGTTAAATTTTTTATTTTGTGCTATCATGGTCTACAGCCTCTTATTGAATTGAATTGAATTGAATTAAACTCTACCTTGAATCATGTGGTCTTTTATTGTAAGTGCATCCCACCTCTGTAGGTGAATGATATGTGACTGAAAATTTTGTCCTGTTAACAGATGATAAAAGGCCAGATGGACAGACGAGTGGGAATCGTGATCGAGGCAATGACACTCCTGACACGGTTGTCAGTTCATCATCACCAGAGTGCGTGATTCATGAGTTGCCCATCAGATTCCCAGGTATGGCACATTGCCGGCCCATGTACTTAATTGCTGTATGTGGTGTGCTGTTTATGTACAAATTGGATTTTGCTTTTGATGCACATTCACATAAGATCAGTGATATTAAGTTTATTGTGCTGAAGACATAAATCTGCAGTGGCATGTTTGTTATATGTGGCCAAAAATTTATTTTGTACTGAACCCTGTATCCATTCCTTCACTTAAGTAATAGTGAAATTAAGGATAGGGGAGGTGGGGTCAAATTGGAAACAAAATTGTCTACCTCAGGCGTAGGAATCAAGCGGAAAGGAACGGCGGCATTCACAGAGATGGGCTGTTCAAAGTATATAAAAATTTATTTACATTATACTTGAAATGTTAAAAGGGGGTAACTTATTCAAGCCAAAAGCATCTGTAATTAAAACAGTAAGACATAAATTCGCGATCACAATTTTAAATCGGTATGACATCAGTCCAAAAGTAAGAATGACTGAATGAGTATAACGTACATCAGCAGTAACAACATCTGTTGTTATATGATGTAAAGCAAGGTAAGACATAATTGCCAAAATAAGCTCACATTCTTCTCATGTTTGTCCTTTAATTCCACTTTGTTTTGTGTGCTGTGGAGTTATACTGGTGTTTCTTGAGGACAGAAGTTTCCCCAGTCAAAACTTTGGACACATTGCAGTGGGTGGTTTTTAATCCTTGATACATGCAGCCCTTTTACAAGCACTGTTTCTGTCAATGTTACGTGAAAAGCTCGAGAAGACCTCACTGTAAAAATATGTAGCTCTGAGGTACATATTACACTTCACTGAATTATGATTTTATAAAGATTCGTGATACAGTATTCACTTATGGTTCATGCTGTTTGTTAATTTGTTTTACTTTTGTGTCCTATACTAACGCAGTTTACTGGTTCATATTTAATTAGGTCTGAAGCTTATTGAAGAGGAAGACTCTGAGAAGGAGGAAGAAACCAGATGGATGAAACGTTCTTCTCCCATTATCCCTATTATATCTCCAATACCAATTCGTCTTCGCCCAGGCATGCAGATGGCAAAAGAAATTAGCGATGTGGTAAGTGAGACCGTTTATCAGGAACAAAGATGACTGTCTGGCAACTAGATTATTTCTGCACAGCAGACTGTTCAGTAGCAAAGATCAGTTAACTAATGATGTGGTATACACTCTTTTATCATTTAATTGATACATTATTATAATCAAGTGTGTTACATGAATTATGTACTTTCACATTATTTATTGTAACTGCATTTCTTAAATGTGAGTCGTGAAGCTATAAAGATGACTACTTCTTAGTTTTGTGTGAATTGACCTTCTAGTAATCAGCAGCATTGGTTAAAGTAGAAGTAAAGTAGTCCTGCTACATGCCATGTAGGCGCTTGGGGGGAGAGAAGGTATTGCTCGTACTCATTCTTAACCTCGGCTCTAGGTGGGGGTGAGTAGTTAGCGTTATGCCCAGGCCGTGGTTTACCCCTGGGAAAGGACCCTGGTACCCATTGGATAGGATGCTAGGTGGGCCCTAGAGCTGGTCTGGACACAGAGGCTAGAGGTAAAATCCTCTACCCCTGACAGGTATCAAACCCCAGTCATCCAGCTTGTATGTAGTCCTGACTGTGCTATCCGGGCTCATCTCAGCATTGGTGATGTGAAAGAAAAATTTATGTTCTGATAATTAATAAAAATAACTAAGTTAAATCAGTACCAGAACACAAGAACAGGATGTGTGCATATGTTAACCATAGAACAAACATTACATTTGCATAGCACAACTGTACTTTAGTTTCTCAAATGCAGGCTGTGACAACATACATATATTGGTTGCAGTTATAAATGACATCTCAGTTGTTACATTGCTGGATGGTGTAATTAAAACATGATGTTTATCCAGCACATTGAATATTTAATAGATATAAGGATCTTTAAGTCTTTTTATAAAATGAAGCCTAAAAGGTTTGTTACATTAACCTATAAAGCACAACTTGTGTAATGTGCATGCCAATCTTGGTAGTATATGCTGTATACCCTTTTCCTGCAAGTAATCAGTTGTAAGGGAATAGAAAGTCAGTCCATTATCATTTAAGTCAGTTGCAGAGAATAATAATAATAATAATAATAATAATTCGTATGTTCGCATGAGTCTGCGGGTGTAGGGGCGTTTATATTTCAGGCAGCAAAGAGAGCAGCAAATGACCTCGGACTTGACTTCGACACCAGCTCAGTTGTACAGCGAAGACAGTTGCCCCTCTTGACACTGACGTCAGATCAATTCAAGGGCACTGTTAAGAAGGCTGAGCAAACTTTGTTGCTCAAACAACATGCAGATAAACCCATGCATGGGGCCTTCTTCAAAAATGTAGAAAAAAGGGGCTTGTCAAAAGACCTGACGTTCGCCTTTCTACGGTCGGCTGGACTAAAGTCTGAAACCGAGGGTTTCATCTTAGCGTG